TTAGAGGGCAGAATAGTTTGTTTCCCAAATCAAGGCTCAAGTAGTTTGATTTTGCAACAGAACGGAAACAAAAATGTTGGTAAGACTTAGGGGGAATTGAGGTCAGGTGGCAATGTTTGGGTTTCTTTTTAGGGAAAACTATGACCTGCTTCTTTGGTATTACATGCTAATGAAGCTTCGTGCCTGGCTAGGAAAGCTTTTTGTTATTTACTGGTGAAACTTGAATGACTACAATGAACTCCTCAGCAGGAGTTAATGCTACTTGGCTTAAGCATCACATACAAGACAAATACCTCGAGGTGCTTACTCAGGTAGTATTGTGTGACCAACAGCAACACCACAAGCAGCTGTGCTGCTGGGTCAGTGTCCAGATCTTCCTTGTACTGCGACAGCAGTGCCAGTGCCAGCGTGTCCATTCTACACTCAGTGCCAGATGAGCCCAGGAATCATTTTCAGACCTGCCAAAAGTCAAAGACAAGAACGCTAACAACTTGAGCGAAGAGTGCTACTGAAAATAATGGAGATTAAAGGATTCAAAGAAAACCAACCCTCCCAGGCAGCACAAGATCGAGTTGGTAAATCTGAAAGCATGGGACACCGCTCATTTTGTGCAGATCAAGCTTATTGGTGAGGAAATATATGTTATATACTCATAAAACATACTTTATATCTGGTAAGAAATTACAAGTCCATAAAAAAAAAAAAAGAGAAAAAACCAGAACAAAAGAATTTATTACAAAGGATTTTAAAACTTTGCACCACGCAGAGCTTTCCAAATGTGCAATACCGTAGGTTAATACAGTACTTATGCAGAGGAAAGAAATATTTGTCTTTAAACAAGGGTAATATTGAAAATAATTAACTGTCTAGGCACGTACTGACAAAGACAAGAGTGATGCCACAGGCATGAACTCAGGGGACAAAACACAGTACCGCATCAGAATGACACCATAATATGTGACTGGTACATTATTCAAGACTGTCAAAACTTCTGCCAGGTCACGAGCTAGTCTCAGGTAGGATGTCATCTCCCTGGTTATCACCTCTCCCTTCTTTCAGGCATCTGAACATGCCAAGTTGACCTAATCAAAGTGCTGGTAATGACCTATTGGGTTTGCATGGCAAGGGTTTGTTAGCTGGGGGGGCTACAGGGGTGGCTGCTGTGACAAGCTGCTAGAAGCTTCCCCCACTAGAGCCAATTCCAGCTGTCTCTAAGACGGACCTGCCGTTGGCTGAGGCCGAGCCCATTGACGACGCGGTAGAGACTCTGGGATAATGTGTTTAAGATGGGGGAAAAAATGCAGAATTTCAGATGAAGAAAGGAGTGAGTATATGTGAGAGGAACAACTGTGCATGTTGGTGAAGGATGGCGGGGAGGAGGTGGGCCAGAGCAGAGGTTCCCCTGCAGCCTGTGATGAGGGGCAGGCTGTGCCCTGCAGCCATGGAGGGTCATGGTGGGCAGAGACTCCCCTGCAGCCTGGGGAGGGCCCCACACCAGAGCAAGTGGCTGCATCCAAAGGGGCCGATGACTCCATGGGAAGCCCACGCTGTAGCAGGCTCCTGGCAGGACCTCTGGACCTGTGGAGAGAGGAGCTCAGGCTGGAGCATGTTTGCTGGCAGGACTTGTGACCCCGGGAGACTGCAGCCTGTGGGGAGGACTCACACTGGATCAGTTCGTGGAGGACTGTCTCCCATGGGAGGGATCACAGGCTGGAGCAGGGGCAGAGTGTGAGGATCCTCCCTTCGAGGAGGAAGGAGCAGCAGAGACAGCGTGTGATGGGCTGACCACAACCCCCATTCCCTGTCCCTGGGGGAAGGAGGTAGAGAAATGGGGAGCAAAGCTGAGCCTGGGAAGAAGGGAGGGGTGGGGGAAAGCGTTTTTAAGAGCTGGTTTTGTTTCTCATTATCCTACCCCAATTTCATAGATAACTACATAAACTAATTTCCCCAAGCTGAGTCTGTTTTGCCCATGACCATAACTGGTAAGCGTTCCCTCCCTGTCCTTGTCTTCAGGCACAAGCCTTTCCTTATATTTTCTCCCATCAGGGGACATGGTGGGCACAGAGCGGCTTTAGTGGGCACCCAGCCTCCAGCCAGGGTCAGCCCAGCACACAAGAACCCAAAGCAAACGCTATGCTTGCAAAGAGAAACACCAATGGATCTGTCATGGCAGAGTTAGAGGGAAAAGTCTGTCTGTGTAAGGTCTACCGCAAAGCCACCTCTTTGTATTTACGGAATAGAGACTGGATCTAGAAAATTAGTAGGTTTCAACAGTGAAGGCCACCAGCATCCCCTGAATCTCAAACACTAACGGAAATACTGTCTCTGTGAAGAAAGAATCATCTCTGCCTTTGCATTTACACTGTATGTAGCAAATTTGGGGTGTACCTGTAATATAAATGCTACCACTAATCTCTATTTAGCAAGCAGAGAAGGAAAACAGAACTACAAAGGGAGTGGCACGTAAAAACATCCACCTCCCTAGGGTTAAGTTTCAGTAACACTGTGGTTTGAGCGACCAATGCTGCATTTCTGTACTGCCAACATCCCGGTCAGCCCTGTTACGCTGCCTTCTCCCACCTCACGTTACTGCAGCAGAGTAACAGGGAAAAAAACAAACCAACACCAAACAAGAAAAAAACCCCGCAACACCCTAAAAACCACTCACACAACTGCTCCCCTTGGCATGTGTTTTCAGCTACCGGGCCCTAAGGCATCGTGACAAAGAACGGTACCCAGAAAATATCAATTATTTGATGAAGGCTAAGGCAAAGCTTTGAATGCATACAGTGCAAGTCTTATAAGAGAAATACACAGCTACAGCTCAGGCAGACATACAAAAACTTTTCCCGGTCTGTAGCATCAGTTATAATTGAATGCCTATAGGTGTAACTCCCAATTCAAAATAGCTCACTGCTCTCCAGTTACAAAAATAACTTCAACACGTGTGAACAAAAAGTACGTCCATCCCAATTGGTAACTTCGGGCCTTAATTACAAGTAATTATTTTAGAATTACTGCTGTCTACTTTTGTTAACTTCCATTAAGAGACAAAGCAGCCTAGAAGAAGTGAGAAAAGTGGATTAAAAAATTGTCTTAGGTAAGCTAAGAACTAACTTAATTTTGATTTTACTGTATCTTTGAAACTCACAGAATCTGTTCTTCAGGTTTTATCAGATGCCAGTCACACAAACACATATAAGGACGACAGCTGCTCAACAACACATAAACCTGGACACAGCTCAACCTTCAGGACTGTAAGTGGCTGAGAATTTGCATAAATTATCTGAACTAATTTTTCTCAAAAGTAAAAAAAACCCCAAGCATTCAAGAGGTTTAAAAGCATAAGAAAGTAGTGAATTGCATATTCATACAGACAAGAAAAAAGTCTACCCCAGTAACAGAAATAGGTGGAAGCAAGATTTCATGGAATGCTGTAATGCCTCAAACAAGTATCCTGAACTACATTGAGTTAGGGAGTTGGTACACTTTAATTGGAAGGTTCGCATCTAACTAGAGCCATCTTTTTTACTCTCATAACTAGAATTCAATTTTTCCACATCACAGCTTCTTTTTTTCAGTACTGAAGCCTAAATAAAACTGTACTTCAGAGGAACTCATCTGAAATGAGGAGGGTTTTTTGTTTGCTGTTGGGTTTGGATTTTTTTAGTTGTTTGTGAGGTGTTTTTTTTAACTGAAAACTACTGCCTCAGCAAACCCCTATACAAAACATACTTCTAACTGACAGTATACTTCTACCGATAAAGCCAAGACTGAAAACCACAAACTCCCTAGAAATACCTTACCTCCAGGAGCTTTAGTCTTTTAAGGTAGCAACAGTGATGTCATTTACTATTTAAAACAATAAAACCAGAAACAACTATACACTTTAGACAGAGGTTTGAGATCAAGGCCAGCCTGAACTAACTCCAGCCTCTCACCTACATTTCCCTCTCTCTCTAAGTGTATGAATGGCACCGTATTTTTGGACAAAAAACAGGTAATGGTCACTTTTGCAATTAAATCCATTTACTATTATATTCTACGGATTTACATTACCAGAATTATCCGACTATCCAATTTCATTAACAAGTTTTCAGGCTGACACTCATGCTCCTCAAATTCCTAACTCTGGAAGACACTGTTCCTAACACTCTGCAGTTCTCAAGCCACAGAAAAGAGGCAGTGACGCCCTGTGGTGCTGCACTCCACTCTTCAAAGGAGCTATTATAAAAGTAAGAGTCACCATATCGATCCAGTTTCAGTTTACAGCAAGATTATACGTTGCTCCCTTAATAGGAGACCCACAAACCAACTATTACAAAAGGGCAGCCTGAAGAGAAGGACATAAACCCTACTGATAAGCAGGGAAGAATTCCATCTGCACTCTGAGGCCCTGCATTCTTAGAATTAACTTCTCCCTTATGTAGAACCCCAACCACACCATCAGGGTGTGCCTTCCACCTTTCAATTTTAACAGTACTTAAGAACAATGTAATAATTTATCTGAAATCTGTTTATTATGCTTCATGAAATTCACTATTTCTAACCACAGTAACTATAGTAAACACTTAAGCTGTATTTTGCCTTGCACAAATGGTTCCAGACAGATGATACAAGAATGTTACAGTGACAGGACAACACTGAAGAGGTGTCAAAGACACCGGTAATTAAGGTTTTACTGTACAGGTCAATAGTAACAAAAATGAATCAAGATTTCAGTACAAAAGTGTAGGAAGCTTGTGAAAAAAAAAAGTTTAAGCGGTGAAGGAGAGGTTCTGAACACAACAGCAGCACTCCTTCACATCTTGGACCGTCTGTGCAAATGCAGCATTACTAAAATACCTGTGTTTACGAAACAGAGGTAAGGAAATAGGAGATAAAGCTCAGTTCCTACTGTGATAGTCACAGGCCTGGCATCATCTTGGTAAGAACAGGGATTCTGCTACTCATGGAAAAGAGTCAGGTGTCAAGTTTGTGCACTTATTCTACTCTGCAGCTCATCCTAGAGTTGCCAGCTTGTCGATTAAATCATCAACAGTATTGACAAGCAGCTTCGTATCCTCCTTCTCACTCATCCGATGCTGGCCAATTTTGCGGAGGATAACATCCACATCTTTGCTCAAAACACGATCAGCAACTTGCATAGAGATCTGCCAAGGGACGTCACCATCCTTCATGCCATGAATAAGTCGTACGGGGCATGTTATAGGAATAGGACTGTTCAGCACACAGTGGTTTTCCGCTTCTCTGATGAAGTCATATTTCAAGGAGTAATATCCTTCCTCATTATGCTTTGTTGGAAGCTTCCATTCACCTTTTTCTTCTATTTCTTTTTGCGCCTACAATACAGCAAAGAATAGACAAGACAGATGATAGTTCTTCAGTGTGCCTCAACTTACTCGTTCTAAATGCAGTAAAACTTCCCTTTGCTCATTTTTATTAGCAGAAAAGGTATATTTGCCTTCCAGCATCTGAGAAGACAACCCCCCTATAACGTCACAAAAGCTACCCTGCATGTCTCCACTGCAAATTAATCTAGTTAGGATTCACTAATGAAATGAAGTTTCTCAGCCAGAATCCATCAGAAAGATGCATAGCCACCAGGAACAGTAAGCCTCTCTGGCTTCAATCACTGAACCTCAAACGAGGAGCATCCTAGGGAAAGAATCAGTCTTTCCCACAACAGCTGTGTCTAACACCTGTACTTGCAGGATCTTCCCTTCGTTTTAAGTAGTAACACTGACCCTATGAAATGCTTTGGAAAAAAAAAAATCAGGAAGATATTTCAATTATTCTGAAGTAGGAGTTACTTCTTGCCATATTTATTTGTCACACTGTAACACCTGATTTACTCTCCTGAAGACTGGACATTTTCATCACGGAGGAAGCAACTCAGACTTCCTACCACCCGACTCTCAGAGCCTTTACCAACACACTAACCCACAGAATTCCCTTTCTACACACACCACCTGTGTCAGGCTTCTGGCAGCCAATGTCATGTCAATTACTTCAGCAGCTCCTTCTCCATCCTTGAAAGCACAAGGATCCAATTTGAATGCAAATATAAGACATTCAACACTGAAATCTAATGGACTGTTGAACAGCAGGGATGTGACTTCACGTCCTGTGTGCCACAGTGAGAATATAAACACGTTCTAGGGAGCACTCTCACCAGTTGCACACTAGAAACCCAGTATTCTGCAGACTTTTAGATTAACAGAAATTTTGAGCTTACCTCCCCCACAAACGTAAAAACCTTACCGGAAGACTTGCAGGAAAAGTACAGTTTGAACAACAGAATTTCTTACACGCTGGACAGATTTTTCAGACCGCAGAGAAGCCAACCACCAACATTTACCTCAATGGGAAGCTTCTTAAAAGTCGTTACAAAATGGTCTGCTGCCACAGCGACTCCAACCAGGGCAGCTACTTTATCTGGACGCGCTATTGCGGCATGAAGCATCAGCCAGCCACCCAAGCTGGAGCCCACCAGAATCTGAAAAAAGAGAGAAAATCAGGTACTATTTTACAGGGAAAGGCTAGTAATTCTTTTTTCTTCTTTAACTAAGTATCAGTTTTCACTTTGTTTAACTACTTAAACCTTGGGCGTAATCCTGCTGTCCTTACCCAGGCAGAACTGCTTGTCACCTCCAGTGGAAATTTTGCCTGAGTAAGCACCACAGAATCTGGCATTTTATTATTCTTTATGTTTGGCATGGCTGGTTATTGCTGTCTGAGACTGAAACACTGCAAACAAAATGAGAGTTGAAACAGTTCAGTATCACATGCACACTTTATGTTCCCTTCTTTATTAAAATAAATGCACGTGGTAAAGGCTCAGTGCAGTGAAAGAAGTCAACAAAAGCAGGTCACAATAAAAAACTGTTTTAAACACAATACTAGGTATTTCCAAGTTGCAGGAGATTTCAAGTTTCTCACAGTCATTTCTAAAGTAACTGAAGATGTCAAATACAGCTTCTGCTGCTATTTTTTTTTAAGCTATTTTATCATCTAGAGTATCTTAACTTGTAGCATTTCGGCAAATCCTTTAATTAATGCATCAGCATGGGACAGCATAGTCATGAAGAGGGCTGTGCTGCACTGGGAAAGTTCCCTGTCAGGTGGAACCTCCACCATGAGCCTTTCTCAGGCTCCCTGGGATGACAGCCCTGCTCTGAGCAGGAGGCTCTAAGAGATGCCCTCCAGGAGGCCCTGCCAACCCATGTTTCCATGATTTTGTGATCTACCTGCTTGCAAAAGAGGTCCTACGAATATGACCTCTGAAATGATTCAGCCTGAAAGCAAGAGGTGTCAGTTGTTAAACAGAAGCTACTGCTGGCCAGAGCTATCATGGTACATTTTCGATGAACGTTGTACCTCGAGGACGGAAAGCATTCTATATTTAAAAATAAAGCATAACCTGTGGTCCATCTGTAAGTTCATCCAGTATAGACAGAACATCTTTTCTCCACTTCCCAATTGTACACTCCTCAAATTTACCATCTGAACTTCCACATCCTGTATAATCAAATCTGAAAAAGCAACCATCAAAGTGAAACTCGCCATACTGTCTACAACAACACAGAAGCTAACCAAACAGGACCGTTCAATCGAATTAAGCAGGGGACAAGACATCACACTGGACGTTTTTGTACTTGGTCCTGCACATCACTAACACACGAAAAGAAGTTTAAATACAACAGATACAATTAAGTGATGGTTCTCTTACCATCTGAGGTAACAACACCCAAGTTCACTGGGATATTTCACACATGAATGATTTTCCTTACAGCCAAAATGCAACACACTTCAATTTTAAAGGCATTTTTTAAATGTACAAACTCTCCTCCAAATGCAATTCCCCACTACGAAGACGTACAAAACTCAGCATTCAACCAGGCTATCAAAGGAGAGCATCACCAAGCATATGCGTGCTCCTCCAAGCTCACAGAAGGCACCGAGGAGCTTCACAAGCTGCGGCACTTAAGGAGCACACGTGTAGTGATAATTTACAGAAATTAGAACTCCAGGCCATAAAACTGAAATTTCTAAGGTTTTCCTTCTTTTTAATTGTTGTGCCTATAGCGTTACTGTAACACACCGCATTGGCTAGATTAGAGAGATCTGTGTCAGAGAATCTTCTGGATTACGTTCAGATTACATCCTCCCGATCTCCCTCGGCCTCTGCAGACAGAGAGCCTGCGTTTGAATGACGACCGACACCTCTGAACTTGTGTGCAGCACAGCATGCGTCCCAAACCCACCCCCCAAGTTTACGAATCCCTTCCCCCAACCCACGACTCTTTCATCTGCTCAAGAATGACGCTCCGAACGTACCTGATGAAGGCATGGCCTAGGGACTTGCAGAAATCTTCAAGGGCAGTTGCTTTCAGACCATTCATATTTGAGTTAAAGCCTGGAAGGAAAATAACCCCTGGATTCCTGCCTTTTAGTTTATGATAAGCAAGATTTGGTCGATCTGGACGAGTAAGAAAGCTGACCGATGATTTCAGCCTGCAAACTAATAAAAAGAGCTATTTAGTACAATCACTATGATAACCTTGGCAGAAATACTAGTGTTTTATAAAATCAGGATTCAGGAAACATGGGCATATTATGTGAAAATAAGATACTTAAGCTCAAGGGAAAAGAAAAAGGTTATCTCCTATACTCTCCTGGGACTAACTAAGCATTGACCCACCTCGTATGGAAAGTTGACTGTGATTGATTTTCAAACTGTTAAATGCCAACCATGTTCATTCAGCAATTAGCAAAGTGGCTGACTGAAGCCAAATGCAAACATTTCCTAGACTTCATTTGTCTTCTTGTTTTATACCATCTTGAATACATTTGCTTATTTCACATGAAATAAGATCTGTGTTTTCCCCTTTTGTTTTTCCAGATAAAATTTCAGAATAATGTAACTTCAGGACTAAAGTACTGTGTGCAACAGTTACAAGTACGTGATGTGACAAAGTTTTGATTAAAAAGTAAAACTGAAGGTCAAAACTTCATCTGCATCAAACCCCCAGATCCAGAAGATCCATGAAGGAGAGGTACAATTGGAAAGTGCAAAAGCGGGATTTAGGAAAGAATCTCATGACTAACTTCTTCAGCATGATGAACATAATATTAGCATTGTTTAAAACCAAACAAAGTAAGTAACTTTTAGCCTTTTTCACCATATCATCAACAACTACTTCTGCTTAAGATTATTGCCAGGAACACTGAAATAAGGCCCATTTTAACACTGCACCATCTTAACATCAGCCTATTTCTCAGACATGAAGCATAGGAGGTAAAAAACAAAACTCTGTTTTCTCTAAATACAGAGCAACATGTTAAACACATCCCATAAGAAGAAACAGAGTTAACCACTGCAGAGCTACGATTTTCTTACACATCTCCAAAAGAGGGAGGGATATCCCATTAAATGGTTTGGTGTATTCTTGCTAGAGAGGTTACATTATTCCAGTACTTAGACTGCTCTATGTTTATCCAGAATGAAATACTACTTTGCAAACCTATACATTTTGCAAAGATATAAAAAAAAAAAACACTAACGATGTTTTAGTGCAGCTTCTGTCAAAGTGATCTGCATCATATGAGACAGCAGTTTTCCTACCAGCATGGACATCTTCTTGGTTTAGTTCAATAAAACAAACCAGACACATTTGGAAAGCAAACATCAGGTTGGACTCTGTTATTCACATTAATAACCATCAAACAACTGAGCTGGTTTTAAACAAGGACAAAAGATTAACAAAGGAAATACTAGCTAATGAGTAACTACGATGAATTGCAACAGCTGCTACAGTATTCAGTCTAAGTTCAGCAGTCAATTGTAGCCCTGCTGTGGGTGAGGACAAGTGATTCCTAGAGAGCTGTTATGGAGACTTAATCCACTGTTATCCCACTTAGCAGGATAATTTGTTAAACTGAAAGCTTGCTCAAGACTTCTAAGGCTTGGATACTCTTTAATTCTTAGATTAGAATACGGCTGGTTCTTCAATACTGTAAATCTATAGTGGGGTACAAAAACAATGCAACCCCAAATACATGAGGGCTTCCTAGTGGTGTAATAACTGGATAAAAAATGCAGAACCAGACCATGACAGTATCACACCACTTCACTGTTCCACAGCTTCGAGTTCTGTCTTCTCACTGTCAGGCTACATTCAAGGGGTTTTGCCTGTTCGTTTTTAAACCTGTATGTGTGTGAGTAAATGTGGATGCGCACAAGACGCAGGATGCAGCTATGATTCTGCGCCTTCCTACAGTCTAACAAAAACTACACCATTTGAACCGTAAACTGGAAAAGAGAAGGTTCAACCTGAACATGAGGAAACCCTTCTTCCATGTGAGGGTGAGACAGCCCTGGAACAGGCTGCCCAGAGAGGGGGTGGAGTCTCCTTCCCTGGAGAATTTCAAAAGCTGCCTGGACTTGTTCCTGTGTGATCTACTCTAGGGGATCCTGCTCTGGCAGGGGGCTTGGACTAGATGATCTCTAGAGGTTCCTTCCAACCCCTACTACTCTGTGAATCTGTGAACTCTAGATTAAAACCATTAAATCTTTCCTGCAAGGATGGGACAGTTCTTTAGCCTACTGATGCATACAAATACCAACAGCAATCCTAAACTGAGCAGTGCAAAACTCTAAAACCACCACCCCAGCCAATCCAAAAGCAAGGCTCACTTGAGTCACACTCACAGACTTCCCTCTGGACAGTCAAAACCATCAGTAACTGAACAGCTACCCAGTAATTTCTCCTCCTGTTTTCAGCGAAAGACCTTGTTAACAGCAGGGAAGAACTTCTGCAGGGTGCAAGGCAGTACTTGTATTTATAAAGGCAAGTTACAGACAGCAGGAGCTAGCTACAAGAAGATCCTGGCCTGATGCTATGGAACTCTCCTCCTATCAGAATCACCGTGCAATTTTAATTGTGTTATAACCAACATAAACTGTGACTGACACCAGTGCCACACATCAAAGCCAGACGTCGTCTGAACAACCCTGGGAACGCTCCAGCACTGTGACATACCCGCAGCCAACAGTGGCAGCAGATTACAGCTCTGCTAAATAACGGACTCAGCACTGGCCACACTCCATTTCATGCAATCGCCAGGCTACAGGAGTACGGCCATCAGTTCCAGTAGCACAAACAGCTGCTCAGCCCAGTCTCACAGCACTGAATGGCACACTCAATAACCAGCTGTTCTGGTTACATTACCACTATACACACACAGGAACAACACAAAAACCCCGTATTAACGTTTTTATGGAGGTGCTACGCACTTCCACATCTAGCAACCTCAGATGAGGCTCATTACCTCACCAAGAGCAGAAGTTGTCTGTCAAATTTAAGGCAATGAATGACTAAGACAAGCACTGAGTGCGGACTGGCAAGAAGTGGCACTGTGTTTGGGCAGAGGACAATCTCATAGGATGCTCTGGGTTGGAAGGGACCTTAAAGTTTTTATGGAGGTGCTACGCACTTCCACATCTAGCAACCTCAGATGAGGCTCATTACCTCACCAAGAGCAGAAGTTGTCTGTCAAATTTAAGGCAATGAATGACTAAGACAAGCACTGAGTGCGGACTGGCAAGAAGTGGCACTGTGTTTGGGCAGAGGACAATCTCATAGGATGCTCTGGGTTGGAAGGGACCTTAAAGACCATCTAGTGCCAACCCCCCTGCCATGGGCAGGGACACCTTCCACTAGACCAGGTTGCTCAAA